TTGTGCAGAGGTATAGTTAGAGAATAGACTATATAGACTACAGTAATAATTGGATCAGGCGGTCGTACCCGATACCGTGCATGTACAGAAACTCATTTTAATTCGACTTATAGTTGATGCATCTAGATATAAATAAATTCTATTTTAATTATATAATCAGTTCACCTTGACCGATTTTGCAAATTATTAAAGTGATTTCGAGATGACACATCAAGGATGTCCCGCTGAAATGAGAACAATGGACACTTTACATGTAATAATTTTGATGGACGTAAAGAATTATACACGTAATGCAATTTTGATAACTATTTACTTCCTTTAAAGTTTATAGTTGTATGTTTAACACTGCACGATATTATTAACACTGAGCGAATTTAATTTGAAAAGTTGTGTGTCATTGCATCGTAAATTCAGTTGTTCTTATTGAAATCAAAATATATTTTTAATTATTTAATTGAACTCGTTCAGGAATGTTTGATTAAGTACCTAAATAAAAAAAATTACTGCTGCACGGTTGGCGCGGTGGTTGGGCAACTGGCTGCCGTGCAACGTGTCGCGGGTTCGATTCCCGCACGGAACAACTCTTTGTGTGATCCACAGATTGTTGTTCCGGGTCTGGGTGTCATGTGTATGTGAACTTGTATATTTGTAAACGCAACCATGACACAGGACTAAATCCTAGTGTGGTGCAACGTTTTTTTTAAAGAAAAAAAAAGTGCATGTACCTACATTTGTAACTCTCGAATGTCTGCACCAAAATGGATAATTTCTTTTTTCGTGCGGTCAGCAACTACACATCTATATACCAACATAAAATTGTTTTAAATAGTAACCAAGAAGACTCAGAATGTACCGCTAAATTATAATACTTTTCATATAAATATAGGATGTAGAAAGAAATGAATGAAAGTAGAGTAACGAAGGAAGTATACAGAGCGGATATGAATGGGGCCGTCGGTAGAGGGTGTCCTATACGGTCATATAGTGACCAGATTGGCGATATATTAAAGAAGGGCCAAATTAAAAGTACCCTTAACCGACGAGCATGCATGAAAAGATTGATGACTGTTAATGAAGCGAAAGAGGTATGTAAGAATCGTAGTAATTGGCGTTCCTTAGTCTCTGCCTACCCCCATGGGAGACAGGCGTGAAGTTATGTATGTATGTATGTAAAAATGTAGGCACTAACTTATAGTAACATCCAAAGCCGCGGGCAACTTAATAGGTAACCGCGGCTCCGGCTCAAAGCAGAAGTAGGAAAGGGCTGGTTTTTAGTCAGTAATCGTCTGACACACCCTCTCGCATCACAGAAGGCGGGAGAAGTCATTGGATGATTTTCTTCCCTCAAAGAAACGCTTATCATATCGTAATACAACATGTGTCCATCTTTCTCAGACAAGTTTCTTAACTAGTATGGTTGTTTTAATACAAGTTTTCTTCTAACTAGGGGAACTTGCCGAACTAGGGGAAAGGTTGCTCTCTGCACTAGGTTTTCTAAACTGGAATCGCTAGTTATGCCCTTTAGTATTAAACGTGACTGATTAAAGCAAAATTTTCTCTCAAAGATACTGTGAATATCCTGTTAAAATGCCTTCTGTATACCTTGTATAATTTTTGCCAGTTACGCTAATGACATCGTCGTGGTGGCCTGGAGGTTTAAGACGCTCGCTTCACACGTATGAGAGTGTGGGTTTAAAGTCTACCAACGGCAAGTACCAATGTGACGTTTTCCGAGTTATATGTACTTAGACACTACAGACAAACGGCGAAGAAAAACATCGTGAGGAATCCTGGGCTTTTAATTTCTAATTACCAGTTTGGAATATACAACCCGTCTTGAGCAAGCATGTGATTAATGCTCAAACCTTCTCCGTGTGAGAAGAGATTTTGCTCAGCTGTGGGCATTTAAGGCTATTGATGACATGATCAAGGTGGCAAATGATATGCTACTTTGAACAAAAAGTAATCCGTTTTGTACTTAGACTGTCAAACACCAAGCGGTCACCGGTGACCGCAACCTATTGTTCTATAATTGTGTCTATAATGACGGTACTCAACGAGTTAATTCGAATAAAATATATTTAATAGACTATGCTACAAAGCAGTAACAACAAAGCTTATGTGTTGTCTGATGGCAAACACTCGATGTAGCTTAAAAACATTTGAAATACGAGAGGCAATACGAGCGCATTGCCGACTACGTGGTTTGTCGACGCTTTTTTAAGCCTCGTGGGGCATGGTTCTCCTGCGGAAAGGAGTTCATACTAAGACCGTCAGCTCGATTACCTCTTACTACATAAAAAAAAACTAGTACGTACCGAGGAGAACATTATGCGTCAAGATTTCTAGTTTATTTTTCCATTTTAGGGTGTGTATTTAGGTACATTTGTTTAGAGATATTTGAATACTTTATTTAGATATTTGGATACTTTATTTAGAGATATTTGGATACTTTGTAAAAGAAGATTATTATCGTATGAATTGTTTGGAACCGTCAGTAAACTCGAGACACAATGAAAAGCGGTTGCTACTAAAACGATGCGCGACTGTGAATGTTGCAATTAGAGAAAAATCTACATTTCTTTTCGTACTTCTGTTGTAATAATAGACAATCGTGGCCAAAGATGATAATACATCAATATTAGCAACGAATAAATCTGTTTTTTAAGTAAATATATTCATAATTGTTGATTTTCCTACAGTCTGTTGTTGTTCGTGAAAGTTAATGATGCCTCTATAGGTACTAATTAATGCAGTAGATGTATATTTAAAAAAATGAAATTTTAGTTCTGAGTGCATACAAATGCAAACTGATAGCCTCATACGAACTCAAAGAAAGTGCCAATTAATAATTCTATGTTCATAATTATGTATTCAGGTTGTATGTGATATTTTTTGTATATTTATTAATGAATTCTGTTATGTGGCAGTACACACTACCATTGCTAATAAAAATAGTAGATATAGTTTATGGTTATCGCAAACCTTTTTGATATTTGCAATTAATTTGAGTTGATAATGTAATGTGAAGTTAGGATATTTAAATAATTAGCATAATATAATCCTGATTTAAGAATAATTTTATGGACAGCATCAACTTGCCTTCATACGTATTACCTATTTATGCATTTTTTTTTTTATTTATGAATTATCCCAGGTGCAGGTGTTATGAGCTTATTTATTATGCTGGCCGAATACACAAAGTACCTATAAACAGAATTAAAAGAAATTGTAAGTCAAAAGTCTAAACTCGAAAATTCAAACACGTTCCAAATCGTTCTTAATAACCGAATCGAAATTAGTGTAACGATTAATCGATAAAACGAGAAACGATGATCTTAGAACTCTCACTTTCTTAGGGAGAGGTCGCCACTGACCGAGTATTTTGAAAGTGAAACTGCAGGGAACGGGAATTCGCGTGAACACGGTTCTCGATTCTACCATCGTAGAATTACGATTCATTTCTCGATTAATCGGTTTTGAAAAAGGAAGAAGTTATATTTTGGATGTTTATTTATTCATGTACACTGTGTAGTGTACCGGTTACTATGAAGTTTCTGGGTCAGTTTTTTTTTGTTTTTTGGTAAATGGGGCCCTCGGTGTGGGCCCTCAAAATGCACTTAACTGGCTGCAGCTATCATGTTTCGATTTACATTACAGTTAGTTGACAAATTTATCTTAACAAACAAAAGATAAAAAGGCTTTATTTGGAGTAATTAGGTCGTGAAGTAATGTATTTTTAACCCTAATTTAGTAAAGAATTTGGTAGTTTTTTAAATTTATTTCAGCCCTCCTGTAGGAGAATAAGGACAAGGCATAATGTATTATGACGGACTTGTTTGATTATCTGTTTACATTGAAGTCAAATTTAGTTACTAACTTAATCATATTTATAATGATATCATCATCTTCTCATGAAGACAAAATGTTTTACCATTATTTTTACCATAGATATAATAAGATTTCTGTGATTTTTACAGAGAATCTTCATACATCGACAGTGAGTTATATACCTTATAAAACAAATTTTAGCTCTACAGTTCATTCATGTACTCGGCCAGTAGGTACTCGTAACAAAGTGTGCGTGATCGAATGAACACACATACTTACTAAGTTGCGTTTATTGATGCAAGTATCAATTACGTCGGTAATAAAAACAAACATGTTTGATATCGGATTCCGTTTATAATGTTTATGTGTCGAAAACTGAATTAATTTTGATAATCAATTAAGTTCTTTTAATTCTAGCAATGACTAGAACAATGAGAAAGATTAATAGGCGTGTCGACAGGGTAAAAAAATCAAAAAAGTAATTAGTCCGTCATTAAGATCGCACGAAAATATCAGACACGTATTTTTTGTTTTATCAAATTAACAGAAGAATACGTAGTTATTCCGCATTAAAGTTAGGGAGTTGACGTCACACTTACGGAGAAATCGTACCTAAGTGTGACGTCACGCGTCATTTTAACTCAAAATATCTACATGTTTTTTTGGATACGAGAAAAAAGAAAAAATACGTATCGAAGATTTTTAAAATATCTAAAAGACGGACAAAAAATTAAAAAATAGTCGCCGTGCCTATTAGGTATTAAGTATGTTTTTCGGCTTAATCACGTAATTATTTGACGAGGAACTCGATTGTCGCGCTGCTACAGTTGACAGTCGCCGCGTCGCGGGTCGAGGTATGATGCTCATGAATATGAGCCTCTAGCGTGGCTTGAAACTAGTCGAGTTTCTCGTGAAATAATTACGTGAGTAAGCCGAGAAACATAATAATTAATTGAGTATGTCTCACGAAAGTTACAATATAAACAAAGAAGATATCTTTAGAACAAAATATTAAGGATGCATTTGCAAAATGAATTTGAACTCTTGTGTGTGGACTAATCTTTTCAAACATAGAAATTTGGCATCATTTCAGTTGTCATTCAGTAATGAGAAATTATTTAAATTCTAGGTCCATGATAATGGTTTCTAAAAAATATTCTTTATTACAGGAGGATATTCAGTAGAGCACATAGACAAAGTGTGTCTGTCTTTGCGAGCCGAATATGGAAACTGTGTGAAGGTCACTGGTCTGCTTGGAAGACCTGATATGCTGTTCGTCTTCGATGCCAGTGAAGTGGAAAGAGTGTTCAGGGGTGAAGACGCAGCACCGCATAGGTAAGGAGTGATTTCACGCATTGTTGATGCGCGAATTATTTGTTTATCATTAATTAAAATAAAACTTCCATTACCTTTTTAACCGACTTCAAAAAAAAAGAAGAGTTCTCAGTTTGTATGCATGTATATTTGTGCGCGATTATCTCACGATTGATTCAACCGATTTTGATGCGGTTTGCAGAAAAGCGGTTGTTACATCCAGGTAAAGGTTTTAGTATATTAATTAACCGACTTCAAAAAAAAGAGTGGTTTGAAGTAGGTTTTTTGAACGTAGTTTATAAAAGAATTAGTTTCAGTCTAGCTACTCAAAAATTTTAGTATTGGTGTAGGTTCTATAGCCATTGACCCGTCCTAATTCTAGACTCTGTGTACTTAAATATAATATCAATTGTAAATTTTCGAAAGTCGCCCTTTGTTTGATCTGAGAATCCAGAGCTCATCGTTTAACTGACGCGACAATATTTGCTCATAATTTGTTTTCATACTTTCAGACCATCGATGCCATCTTTGAACTATTACAAACACACATTGAGGAAAGACTTTTTTGGCGCTGAAGAAAATTGTGCTGGGGTTATTGCAGTGTAAGTAAACATAATATACCTCTATCTACAGAGTTCTTAAAAAAAGTAAGCGACCTCGCAGGATTGTATGCAACTATCATCATAAATAATAATATTTTATTGCGACTTTTCATCAAAGTTCATTAGATCGGCTGCTGCGCAACGTGTTTGGGTTCGATTTCCGCACGGGGAAACGCTTGTGTGATCGAAAAATTTTTGTATCGAGTATCGGTGTCATGTGTATCGGATATTGTATGTTTGTAAACGCAACCACGACCACGACACATGACAAAACCCTTGTTTGGGGCAACTCTTAAAAAAATGAGATTGTTTAATAATAATTGAAATGACTTCAAATCTGGTTAATACTTTTGAAAACTCACAGTTTCTACGATAAATAATAGGCCATTATGTCATTATGTATTTATTTTCAGCCATGGTGATTCCTGGTCTGCCTTCCGAACCAAAGTATCTCGGGTAGCGTTGAGCGCTGGTGCAGCAGCTCAGTACACGGTACCTGTCTCTGAAGTAGCTGATGCTTTTGTCCAAAGGTAACACAATACAGATTAAAAAAAAAATGAAATGAAATTAATGTTTTACCTTTTTTATGGAATAAACCGGTAAATGATCAGACGGATCTCCTGGTGGTAAGCAATCGGCGCCGCTCATGGATGCCCGAAACACCAGCGGTGTTATAAGTGCGTTACCGGCCTTTTGGAAATTCGGGGATTGGAGAGATTGGGAAGGGGGTAATTAGGCCTCCGGTAATCACACTCATACGAAACAGAACGCAAGTGTTGTTTCACGTTAGTTTTCTGTGAGGCCGTGGCCGTGATCACTCCGGTCGAGCCGGCCGATTCGTGCCGAAGCATGGCTCTCCCACACTTAAATTTACCAATTTAATTCCGCCTTCGTTTTCAGAGTAGGACACTCTAAAAATTTAAGATAAATGAGATATTATTTTGAAGTACTTTGTCCACGTGCTAGATAGCTAGATGGTGTGCGAAAATTATGTAGAAGTAATGCCTTTCAAATGATTTTCAGAGTACGACAAATAAGGGATGATAATTCAGAAACGCCGGGCGATTTCCTGAATGAGGTCCACAAATGGTCTTTGGAGTGTGAGTACTATGATTTAAACTTTTTATGAAATAACATTTATAACAATAAAAATATACGACTTCTATATAAGTCTAATTGAGAATACTTGGAAAAATTGAAAAAATGTCTCTAGTACTTTGCTTGATCCAGGAATCTTTTCTTGACCGTAACGTCTTTCAACCAACCACGCAGTCAGTCATGGTCAACCAATAGTAACAAGTTAATTATAAATTCGTCTAATTATGCCGTTGAAAAAGAAAGTGTATGGGTGTGGGCACATTGCTCGCGAAATTGATGGTTAATGGGCCGGCGAAATTCAGAATGGCGTCCACGTAGAACTTTCTGAAATATTTGATACACAATGATTGCTAACACTTGGGTAGTATAACAACATTTAGTCGAAACAGATTTCAAAAAACTTTTTGACGATCAAATTGGATAATTAATTATTGTTTGTATTACCAGCATAATTATTTTCATTATTGAAACAAAATTTGTATGATAGAACAAGTAGGAATAATCAAAATTACCAGTAATTTAAGAAATAATGCCAAATCTCCTAAAATGGGTCGCTCTAGTATAAAAAATAATATTAGCTGAACAAGATTTCTTTTATTAAGGCACTAGGTACTTATTTACGCCTCTTAAAAGAAGGTCTATCTATAAAAATATTCATCAATAAACTCCCTATTCTTTCAGCTTTAGGACTAATAGCTCTGGACACAAGACTGAACTGTTTTGACGCGTCAGAAGACTCAGAGAGTATGCGCCTGATTCACGCCGTACAGACTTTCTTCCTAAGTGTGGGTCAGCTCGAACTGCGCGCCCCCTGGTGGAGGTTATACCCAACTAAAATGTTCAGACAATATGTTAAGGCATTGGATACAATCCTTAGGTAAGACCTGAAGATGAGATTTCTAAAAGATGTAACCATGAAATGTATGACAAGGGCACGGACTAAGAATCCGTGAAGAATTAATATTTAAAATTGAAAAAAAGAAAGATACTTTAAAAGTATTTAATGATTCGAGTTCTCAATTAGCACTACCTATCGGTAGAGATGAAGTTTCTTAAGATAATGTACACTTACGTAATCAAACTTATGGAGAATTTATAACTACATTTTTGTTAACGTCGCAAGTGACTAGTCAATCGATAAGCGACAACGAATGAGACACTCTGTAATGAATTGAAGTGATTTATCAATATAAGTTTACTACAAACAAATTAATATTTAAAATCAATTTCATGAGGTCAGCACTATCAGACAACTATGAGAAGAAACATCGAAATAAACACAGTGGTCTTTGTCTCTTTTAAAGTCTAGAGCAGGCTTTAAGATAAACTAATATTAGGTACCTAAGTACCTACTTACTTTTCTTGATTTAATAAATACCATATATCTTTGTCACACTCCAGCGTAACTCTCAGTCACGTGGAGAAGGCGCTAAAGGAATGCGAAGCTAACGGCAGCAGCAAGTCACTGCTGCAGGACCTGGTCGCAGCAGCTGGGCCAAGAGTGGCAGCGGTAGCAGCACTAGACCTGTTCCTAGTAGGAATTGACACAGTGAGTTAACGCACACATATTATTATGATAAAATATTTTTTTCGAGTGCAACAACGCCAATCCCTAAAGATTCAATCCCCAATGTCTTTAAATTTCTAATCCTCAAACAACGAGCCGCTTGCGACTCCTCTACCTATTGTTACGGGTGTTTGCTCGTTTGGCTTTTTAACTCATGTACAATATTTTTTACTCTTTTAAAGTCTATAATCATAGAGATTAAAAAAGAATAATAAAATCATAAATTGACACGTCTAACATGAATGTAAGTTAAACAAGTTACTGTACCTGATAAAAATATTAGAGCAACGCGACGGTTTAAAAGAATACGAGTAGGTATGACAGGCGCAACATTCATTTGAATGATGTTCAACATCATGGACTTTATTTTCAGTTATGTGATAATTTTACTGATTACCACACCATTTAGGACATCTTTGTATTGTTCTCACATATATATGCGTACTGTACGTATGTACAGTATTGGAATACCTATATATCAGAGACATTGTAGAACATACTTTTTTAAAAAGAGTAGGTAACGAATGATGTTTCTTGCTCGTTCTTCTCCATTTGATCCACATTTTGGAATGATCACCTAGCTTCACCTAGTTTTACTGACGGATTGACTGACAGACTATTATTAATTTTGTATATTTTGAGTGATATATATATTTTTTATTATTAATATTAACAAAAACTATTAATACTTAAATATAAAAAAAATAATTTGAAACTAAAATGGTTTAATTGAAATAAATGCTTTGACTTTGACTTTGAAAACCTAATATTACCTAATTTGAGTTGCAGACATTTTTTAGGACTTTCGTAGTTCTAATGAATGTCCAGTACATAATGTATCTGTAAATAAATGCATGTATCATCAAAAAAATATTTTTCCCTTACAGACGTCAAATGCAGTAGCTTCAATTCTATATCAGCTATCTCTAAGGCCGTCAGTACAAGAGCGGTTGTACGAAGAAGTTAGCAAAGTTCTTCAAGGTAGACCAATGAAGCCAGGAGACGTTAATCAGATGCCGTATCTGAAGGCATGCGTTAAAGAAGTTATGAGGTGAGTTTTTTCTTTATATTCGATGTGCCGACTATTGGCCAATATCTCGCCTGGTGGTATCAGAATCAGAATCAGAATAACATTTATTTGCCTACTTTGTGTCTTACAAAATGTCTCTGTGGCCGGTGGGCCATACAGGGGTGAGTCAGCTAACTTATGTCCTAATGGATCTGTGTTTGCTTTGTTCTATTAATTCGTAATATGCGACGCTAAGTAGACATATTACGTGTTTTATTTACGCTGTGTAGTATATTAAATATGTATATTATAGGAACATAATATTTCTTGCTATAATTATTTTATTTTAAGGGGACGCGGGGCTTTTGTTTTGTCTGTAGGCCAACGCTTGTAACCTTTTTTATAAGAGTCGAACAGTATTTCTCCGATTCTGTGATTAACCCTGAGAGGGTTAAAATCCCCATGAGCATGATAGGCATCTTCAGTGGATTCAAGATCTTCTATTTCTAATTTTGAAATATTTTCCAACATTTTGGAGTTAAGGTCCTGGGCGCGTAGGTGCCAAGCTTCTATGTCAGCCATCTCCCAGATCAGTTCCGTAGGTGTTCGTCTTGGAAGTTGTGCGGCATTTTTCAGTGCCATTCTGTATTGACGTTCGATTTTGGTGAGGTTGGATTCGCTGTATCTTGAGAGTAGTTGTACAACTCCGTAGTCCATAAGTGGTAGAAGGCAAGCCTGAATGATTGTCAGTTTTGTTTCCAGTTTTGTCTTCGCATTATATCCTATAATTGGACCGAGGGCTCCTCTGACTTGTTTTAATCTGGTAACAACCTTTTCAGTGTGCTGATTCATCTTCATGTGTTTGTCAAAGATGACACCGAGATATTTGATCTGCTTTTGGTAGTGTAATATCTGTTGTTTCAGTTTCACCGTTGGTCTATATTTTTTCTTCTTTGAGAACATGATGCATTCTGTTTTTTCAATATTACACTTTAACCCCCATCTCGTATAATAGTCAACGATGGCCTCAGCTGCCCATTCGGCATGGATTGTCGCATGTTCTGGGTTCGGGGCTCTGTTAAGTATACAGAGATCATCAGCATACTGTGAGAGCTTGAGGCCTTTGATGTGATCTTGTATATTCCAAACATCATGAACGTACAGATTGAAGATTATCGGGCCGAGTATTGAGCCTTGGGGCACCCCGTGGGGAACCGGTTTATCTTTGGTCGTCGTAGTTCTGAATCTACCTCTCAAGTTTCTACCTTCGAGATAGTTTTCAATTATTTTAATGATATTGTTAGGAACGTCTTGACTCTGAAGTTTTTTGATCAGGCCCTTGTGGTTTATAGAGTCGAAGGCTTTCGATAGGTCCGTGGATATCATAGAGACACTGTCTCCTGTGGCCAGTGCGTCGGTGATTATTTTGCCTGTCCGTAGAATTTGGGTTGCTGTACCTCTTGCTCTTGTGAAGCCGTGCTGGAACGTTGGTTGCAGCTGGTTGACCGTTGCCGTAAGTCTGCTCTGGATCAGTCGCTCGCACAGCTTGCCCATGATATTTAGCAATGTGATTGGGCGGTAAGATGACGCCTGGCGGTGATCTTTCCCAGCCTTGTGGATGAATATGCACACACCAATTTTCCATCGTTTTGGGAAGTAGCCAGTTGATAGAACAAAGTTCACAAGAGGTACAAATGCCTCAACGAACACTTCTCCCCCAAGTTTAAGGGCGTCCGCTTTTATTCCATCTGGGCCTGGAGCCTTTCTGTTTTTAAATCTCCGCAGGGCGAGTTGCACTTCTTTTTCTGATGCTAGGTCTAGTGACTGAAAAGGTGTTGTTTTTTCGGTCCCTTCATCGTCTTTAGCTATTTTAGCCTCTTTGACTATGGCAGTGTCGGTGAGTTTGTCTATTATATCTATTTCTGCACTACAACCCATGATGTTTGGTAGTTTGGCTATAGGTTTCTTCATGTTTCGTTGGATGCGCCACATTTGTGATCGATTGTCTCGAGGATCCTTGAGTTTGTCTTGCCACCCTTTTTCGATGTATTCTTTCAGATCTTTTTCAACTTCTCTCTTGACGCGGTTGTAAAGAGTGCGTGTTTCGCGTTGGATTTCAGGACTGCAGTATCTCGCTTGCCATGCAGTTTGTTTCAGTTTGTTTCTGATGTCAATCCTGTCGTTTATATATTTTGGAAGACGTTCCTGTCTTGTTGTATTTTTCAGGGGAGCATGAGTGTCAAGAGCAGTGACGATGGCATTTTCCATTGTTTCGACATACTTCTCGCAATCCTCCTCTGTTGTGATATCTCTGTTAAGGTGGCAGAAATTTTCCCACATTGTCTGCTGGTACGCTGCTGTGATCTTTTCGTCCACATAGATTTTCTTTGTATTACGGGATAGGTGTTCTTCTCTATTATGTTCTACTTTCACCGTTAACAACCAGGGGAGGTGATCTGAGCCAACGTTCTTTATCTGTTTGGCCTGAGCCTCTAACTGTTGGTGTGTTACTATTGCCAGATCCAGGATCGTGTTACCTGGGCTAAACGGTCTGGACGGTGCATTAGCATGTATAAGTGAGCAAAGTCCGCTTCTCACTGCCCTTTTTACAATGTTACCGAGGGTGGAATTCCTGCTATGACCCAGGGTTTTCATTTGTAAATTCATGTCACCGACGATAATAGACGGCTCATCGGCTAGTGTCTCTTCTAATTCTTCCTTGGCATGGTGTTGGTTTGGAATTTGTACATATATTCCTTTGATTTTGATATATTGTCCAGTAGCGTGGTTGGTGAAAAGTTTAATGCCGACGCCTTCTATCTTCTTGTTTTCGTCGTGCCAGCCTGGGGTAACTTCTGTTTCTGCCCACCTTAGTCCCCTTTGTACATACATGGCAGTGGCTAAGTGTTTTTCCAATGTATGGGTGAGTTTATCGTATCCTTTTATATTATATGGTTGCGTGTCAAAGTCGATCTTGCACTCATTCAATATAATTATAGCCGGTCTATATTTTTCGACAAGTGCTTTTATTTCTTTGAATTTATTTCGCAATCCTTGTGTATTCAGGTGCAAAATTTTGAGATTCTGTATTATTTTACTGTCGTGGTCAGACATTGATATTGATATGCGAGTGTATTTTATTTATAGTGTCCATTAACATTATCAATGTCTGTTGCATTTGTGTCTGCATTTTAAATAGACCCTCCATTGTAAGACTGCTAGTTGTAGGTGGTTCTTGTTCGGTTTGAGGTTGTGCTGATTCTTTTTGTTTCATAATTGGAAACTGCCGTGTATTTAAGACCTCTGCGTATTTTAAACCTTGCCTTACCACTGAGCGTTTAATTCTCTCCTCTTTCTTTGTTTGTTTAGCCTCTGCTTGTTCAATTTGCCTGGCTATAATTTTTTTGAATACAGGGCAGCTTGCGTTGTTCGCTCCGTGGTCTTCTTCTTTACAATTTCTGCAGACTTTCGTTGTAGTGCCCTCCGGAGTAGTAATAATGATCTGTGGTTCCTCTTGTTTGCCGTAGCATGATTGTTTCGAGTGATCAAAAGCATAGCACTTCTTACACTGTATAATGTGCTTCGGATTTTCTCTAAATGGTTCAACCTTGATGGAGGGGGCACAAAAGAATTTTCTTTCTGAGCGTTTAAAATTCTCCATGATATCTCTCGATTTGTGTGTACCATCAAAAAGGAGGAGATGTATTTTCCCTGCTCTTCCAAGTGGTTTGATTGCTTTTGGTTTGATACCGATGCAATCTGCTATCTCATCAGCTATAGCGTCGGTGGATTCTCCGTAGGTTTCGTTTTTGAGCACAATCTTGGTAGCAGGTTGCCTGTCTGCTTTTGGTTTTGGTGCAATAACTCTGGTAAACCCGCCAGATTCAATCTCCGTTAGCAAGTTCACGCGTGCTGCCATATTATTCGGACTAATTTTTATTTGGCCTCTCATAACGTTCATCGTTGAGCTGTTCTTGGCTACTGTTTCTCTGATTTTCTTTAGTGTGTTTTGGTTCTTAATTGCGTTTTCATCCCTGATGATAATATTGGGAATATGGGCGTTTTTCTGTGTTGGTGTCAAGTAATTAGATGCGCCTGTACGTTGTCTTTTGGCTCCTCTAGTTACCAGTTGGTACGTTGATTGGTTGCTTTGCTCGGTGCGGTTGTTGTCTGTGTCACTCGTTGGTTTTTGTGTTATAGACTGGTTTACGATAGGTGGTAGTGCGGTGGATCGCGGATTTTTCCAAGCGTCCAACGTAGTCTGTACTTTACTTATGGTGTGGGAAGTATCTTTATTGACAGTACTCACGTACATGCGCTCACTAACTCGAGTAGGTGGAGGCTGTTGGATTGTGGCGGAGTCCAGCACGCCACCCTTCAATTCTGACCGTACTCCATGCACATACTGCGGTACCTGTGGGCCCTGATGGCCTACATTAGCGTTGATGTTCAGGTCGCGAGGCTTGTTAGACTCTTCGGTGTTTTTAATTAATTTACTTCCACGGTGATTCTTTTTTCTTGACCTTCTAACGGCCAATGGTTGTTCATTTTGTGAAACGAATTCAATGAATGCGCATTGGTTTTTACCGCATTTGCAGATGAACCACTCCTCAGATATGAAGGTCTCGATGGGTATGGTAGTTAATTCTTTCTTTATTTTACAGCTTATACATGGGCGAATATTTTTAACACCGGTCTCCAGGCCTGCCGTATATATTGAAACTGAAGACTCAATGTTAAGTGTGCCGTTATCATATTTTGGCTCTGTTTTAAGCGCAGCCTTGATAAGAAAAAATTTTGTACACAATTTGCATTGAATCTTTTTAGTGTTCATTTGATTTATGCCCCACGAAGGGCTATCCATTTGGAAGAAACTTTCACATTCCCAACACTGCACTATGTTTTTATTAAAGTCAGATAAATCTACCTTCACTAATGTTACTTTGTTCTTAACTGTTTCGATGTCTGATCTCGATTGAGGTGGGTTCGTGTCCATATCACTGTTGTTTACAGAAGATGAATTATTTTCTTCGGATATCATTTTTCAATGTTTTGATTCTATTTCACTACACTAATTTCACTTACACTAATTATTACACTATTTCTAACGTTTGCCGGGGGTTACGAGACCCCCGGGGCCTATACAGTCCGCAATTTACTATATAAAGTTTACTATAACTCGCGTCGATGTGCAATATTTTATTTCGCACATTTATTTATGACGGTGGCTTATCGGTCGTGCGCGTGAGTCACTCCGGTGAGCGGTCGCTCCGTACACGTCCGTTCGCTACCGCGGCGCGCGCGATCATTCCTGACGCGCCACGCCTGGTGGTAAGCGATGATGCGGTCTACGATGGAGCATAGAGCACGTATGCTCGTTTTAAAAAAAAAAAAAACGTTGCCCCACTTTAGGATTTTCTCCTGTGTCGTGGTTGCGTTTACAAACATACAATTTCACATACACATGACGCCCAGACCCGAAACAACGATTTGTGGATCACACTAAGTGTTGTTCCGTGCGGGAATCGAACCCGCGCCACGCTGCACGGCAGCCGATCGCGCAGCCACCACACCAACCGTGCAGTCGAATAAAGCTCATAAGCATCCTACTCGGACTTCCTTCAGGAGTCACAGACTCTCGCAAAGAATTCTATTCCTTGGAAGAACGTACAAGGAAGCTTGAAGCGAAGCGCTTCGTGCGAGTGGGTGGGATATCCACCATGAATCGGTGACGCTTCGCCGATTTTCTTGTGGTACAATCATGGAAAGGACTGTACCTTTATGTACTGTATGAAAAGTAGTATACCTTTTTTAGTATACCACCTACTGTCTATTGATAGCAACAAATTTTATGGCCTGCCTTATAATAGTAAGCGAACACTATAGCCCAAGTAGACTTCTAACACCGCCCAGGGACATCACAAATGCTTTGGTGACCATAACAGAAACTGTTTAACTCGTCGAGTACCGGTTTTGCAGACACAATTATAGAACAATAGGTTGCGGTCACCGGTGACCGCTTGGTGTTTGACAGTTTAATTGCGCCGTTTCGAAGGAAGACGGTTTCTGGAATGAGGTGTTATTGAGATTTTTTGGTATGAATTTGTGGCCGATGTACTCTCATTCCTTATTGCGACAGAACTCATAATACGTGTAAATGGAAAGTTATCGAAAATTCAAACAATTTTTAGCCTTTTTCTTTACGTGTTACTATTATCAAAAATTAAATCCTTGCATTTTTTAATAAAACTCGTTTTCACTATCACCTGTCTGTTCGAAAGCGTTTCATTTACACCCTGTTAACCTACCTTCACAATTACAGACCATATTATAATATCACGCCTTTTATCCCCGAAGGGGTAGGCAGAGGCATGGTGGTGCAAAATGCAAGGTGGGTGGTGTTACATTGTAAAGTGGCACTGTACAATGTAACACCCACTTTTCACTATTTATGTTATGAGTCCGATGTAATAGGGGTGAGCTTATTGCCATATACCGGTCATAATTCCAGACTCCGTGCTACTGCTGAGAATTTTTTTTTTAAAAACCCAGTAATACTTTGCCCGACCCGGAAATCGAACCCGAAACCCCTTACCCGGCAGTCGCACTTGCGGCCACTCGACCAACGATTACGGACCCAATTGAAAAAAATGGTGTATAAAATATAGTTGTTAAATCTTTTCAGGATGTACCCTGTTGTCATCGGTAATGGAAGGCAGCTGACTAAGGATACTGTCATTTGTGGATATAATATACCTAAGGGGGTAAGACATTTATTAATAAAGCTTAAATTTAAAGTTTATGCAGATGTGTTTCACTGAAATCGAGGTATTCACCTCACTAATAAAGCCAGCAGATACTATACATGACGGAAATTCAGACCTTGAATTGTGAATAAAAAGATATTGATTTAGGCCTTGACTAGGCAGAAGTTGCATTTCGAGACTACACAAATAAGCAATCAACTTAAACAATGTTAAACATTCTTGTGACACTAATTTTATTATAAGGAAACACGCTCAGTAACCATTTTCCTTGTAAATTTCGCAGACTCAAGTAATATTCCAACATTACGTGATGGGGAACAGTGACGACTACTTCTCCAATGCGTCAGAGTTTAAACCAGAGAGATGGATGACCAGGTCTCCGGCACAGAAACACCACGCCTTCGCCTCCCTACCATTCGGCTACGGCAAACGAATGTGTCTTGGTAGAAGATTCGCTGAGTTGGAAATACATACAGTAATTTGCAAAGTAAGTATTAAGTAAAGACAGAATAATCTTAATTTCAATCATGATGATCAAGAAAGGGGTGATTTGAATTTGACATCCTCACCCAGGGTAGGAGAAGCCATTTGATGATTTTTCCCCTCAACAAAGACCATCTAGCTAGACATTATTTCAATGCTAGCTAAGGAGAAGGCGGGACGCGTGAGGCAGCGAAGCGCTGCCTCTTCGCAACCCAGCCATCACGAAGGACACACCGGGCGTCGGGGATCGCGGGACGATCTCCGGCCACCGTAAGCGCGGGCCTGCGGACGGCGCGCATGGGTGGCTCCCCGTCCGACCAGAACCGTACAGTACGGCGCGTCGTGTTCCCCGCGCGCCTCAAAGAACCATCAGACCACCACGGATGGGGCCCAATAGCGTGATTCAGATTCGCGCAGAACCTAACGGGTTACCGGGGCTCCGGCTTGAAGTGCAGGAGAAGGAACGGGGTGGTTTTTAGTCAATTTGACACTCCCTTCCGCCTCACCCAGGCAGGAGCAGTCATTTGATGATTTTCCCCCTTAAAAAAAGACAATATTTCAGAAAAAGTTTTGAATATGTTCAATTGTTCACTGTTTGCGGAATGTGTCATACGTTTAAATATTATTAAAATAAGATCTTTTCGCCAGTGAACTTCTTGCGCCCGAAAAACAAAATTAATATATTTAGTCTCAACACCACATTAAATAAGAATTAAAATTAATTATATTCTCTATTTTCCAGATGATACAAGCCTTCAAAATGGAGTATCACCACGAACCAATGGATTACCACATTCATCCAATGTACACACCGAATGGACCTATCAGAATAAAAATGACGGATCGGTAGATCTACTACTTGTATGTTACTTAGTTTTAGCATCGTATTGATCTAGGAATGCTAAAAGCAAGCTAGATTCAAAGCTCAATTATTTAGTTGCAATAAAATTATATTAAAATTCTTTTGAGACATTTTAAATTGACTGTGCTTAACCCGCGGCAGTTGGCAGTCGAAAACTTCATCGGCGCCCTCTGGTATGTCGTGCAATGCTGCTCATGAATACGAGCCCCCAACGTGACACGAAACTAGTCGAGTTGCCTCGTCAAACAGTTTCGTGAAAAAACCGTTAAACAGTTATTTTTTTGTGTTATAGTTTTATTAAATTTGAAGTAATATAATGGTTTTTTCATCTGTCCTAGGGTAGATTATAATGATAAAAATATTGTGTTTGTATATTTTTGTTCACATTCTATTTCTCAGGATTAATTTATTACTGTATACCCAAAACTAAACTTAATCTGATTATTAGTATGTATGACATGACTTTCAGGTGATCTTGTGTTCATTAAGTTACCATTTTATTGTAACATATTATGTAAATATTGTATTTCAAATTTATCCTCGGGATATAATAATGTTGTGTTTTGTAAATACAATGTATTACAATATTTTTTGTTTTAATGGTAGCCATTACCCACGTTACTTATTTTCGTGTTTACCCATAAGATCCCCAGTATCCTTTCAGTGCATAACAAAGGTGTATCTAATGTTTCTTTCTCGTCAATTGTAACATAACATTATGCCTTTTTATCCCCTAAGGAGTTAGCAGAGGTTCACATTACAGAACTTAATGCCACTGTACAATGTAACACCCACTTTCTCATCAATAATCTACATTGTAATTCATTGGACCAAATATCGACCACAGTTTATAATTGTTTTTATAATAACTATCATGAGGCATACTAAATAAAATGAAATCGCGGGTTACTCAGGTAAATATACTAAGAAAAGCTCTACTAGTTTCGAGCCACAGAGGGGTTCTTCCTCATGAGACGCGTACGTGGTGTCGGCGATGTCGCGCAACTCACGAGCACGCAGCGTGGTTCGAAACTAGTAGAGCTTTTCTCAGAAAATTGACGTGAGTAACCCGCGATTTTAGTTAACAGTTTTTAACTCTCACAATTTGAAACTATATCAGAATTTTTAAAACCAAATATCTGAACTATACTTTACCCAATTAAGTAAAAACACGGGTTACTCACGTGAATATACTGAGAAAAGCTCTACTAGTTTCGAGCCACAGAGGGGTTCTTCCTCATGAGCAGCGTGCGCGGTCAAGGCGATGTCGCGCAGCTCACGGGCACGCAGCGTGGTTCGAAACTAGTAGACCTTAAGTAACCCACGATTTTAGTTAACAGTTTTTAACTCTCACAATTTGAAACTATACTCAGAATTTTTAAAACCAAATATCTGAACTAATTTACCCAGCTCAAATACCGGTTCCAACACTTTGGCATGTCTCTAACCTACCTATCTGTAGACCTAAAAGGGGAATAGGCAGAATAAAATAAAACAATATTTTTTGACATTCATAGAATGTTTTACTTAGATTGACTCGACAAGCAATCTTAGGTACTAACATTACAAAATCATTGAAAATAATGTACCATGAGTACACTCTGTTTAAGAAACATATCATTATCATCAGTTTTTCGAAAATGATTGTCGTTTACAATGAATTAAATGTGACACAGAATGTACTCAAGTCATCTTACATTTATATTAATACACACTATATATTAAATTCAAATGGCCACATCAGCATACTGTAACAATATGTATTTACACGAAAAATATCACAAATGAGTATATTATTTATTTCTTTATAAAAAAATGAGTAATTTTTGAAAAACATACAGAATTTCAGAACAATATATAAGAATGTTATACATACAAATATTGACTAGCGATATAATATACATTATAGATTGAGGACGCATCGAAGGAGACACTATATTGTATTATATGGCACTATTTTATATAGTGATAAAATAGGCATGCCTAGCGCATGAAGTATTAAGATAAAGCTTATAAGGCAGTGACGTCATTATAAAAATCGAATTATATTATTCATATTTAGCAGCCATTATTAAACATCGAGAACTGGAATGAATCAAGTAGATAGTAAAAATTAAAAATTAAAATATCACATTATTAATATTTAACACGACAGTTATTTACATATCAACAAGGGCTTTGCGCAGTTGAATTTACAAACGCAGTTCTTAGTTTATTGTTTTTGTTATTTTTGTACATATAAATGGCAAGTGTGATTGACATAATCATGATTACAGCTGATCCCATGGCAATGTATATGATGGCAGTGCCACTTGTTGCAAACGTTGCACTTTCGCTGCTACCACTTAAGTCACGAACTTTTCTTGACCTTGGTTCTGTTCGCTTGAAATCGAACGAATCTGTGAATTAAAAATAAAATATTAAATGACATCTCAACGTACAACAAAGCGTTTATTAAAACAACAATAAGAGTGAAAATTACAGAAAAGTTATAATGATGAAAATATTGTTTTCTCTAACTCCCCATTATAATGTGTATTCACTTTGCTTATGTATGAAAGCTAGTCAAATCGAGAATTTATTCCTAAATGGAAGAAATATTATTAAAAATGTACTAATGTGATTAGGTACAAACAATCAAACATTTTTATTTTATTTTACGTACCTATATAATCGTTGAACTTGTCTTCATCAATGTCCTTTAGTGCTAATCTGCTGATCCTAGAAGACTTGATTTCATTTTCTTCTGGGAATGGAGGCAAATAAGTTGAAGGTGGGTTAGTGCTAGCTGGAGCAAACGGCTGTGGGCACTTTGGATCCCTAGATCCTGGATAACAAGAGCTGGGGGTTGAAGGCTCGGGTTTGGGGCACCTTGGATCAGTTGATCCAGGGAAGCAACGTGGTGGCGCAGGAGTTGTTGGCTTAGGACATCTGGGGTCAGTCGATCCGGGATAGCAACGTGGAGGCTCAGGAGTCGTAGGTTTAGGACATCTGGGATCAGTTGATCCAGGGTAGCAACGTGGTGGCTCAGGAGTCGTAGGTTTGGGACATCTAGGATCAGTTGATCCAGGGTAGCAACGTGGTGGCTCAGGAGTCGTAGGTTTGGGACATCTGGGGTCAGTCGATCCGGGATAGCAACGTGGTGGCTCAGGAGTCGTAGGTTTGGGACATCTGGGGTCAGTCGATCCGGGATAGCAACGTGGTGGCTCAGGAGTCGTAGGCTTGGGACACCTGGGGTCATTGCTACCTGGGAAACATCTAGGAGGTGCTGGAGTTGTTGGTTTAGGGCAACGAGGATCTTGGCTTCCGGGGAAACAATTTGGTGGAGCGGGTGTTGTTGGCTTAGGGCAACGTGGGTCAGTGTTACCGGGGTAACAGTTAGGAGGTGCTGGTGTTGTAGGTTTAGGGCATCTAGGATCTGTGCTACCGGGGAAACATCTCGGAGGAGGTTGGGTGGTCGGTTGTGGACACCTAGGGTCAGTTGAACCTGGATAGCATTTAAATCCAGGCGTTACCGGTGGTAAATATGTTGGAGGTGTTAATGTTGTCGGTCGTGGTGGCTGTGGACATCTAGGATCAGGTGAACCTGGGTAGCATCGAGGAGGTTCAGGGGTCGTTGGCTTGGGGCACCTAGGGTCGCTTGATCCAGGGAAGCAACGTGGTGGTTCAGGTGTTGTTGGTTTGGGACATCTAGGGTCACTTGAGCCAGGGAAACAGCGTAGAGGTTCAGGTGTTGTTGGCTTGGGACATCTTGGGTCAGTGGACCCAGGGAAGCAGCGCGGGGGCTCAGGGGTTGTAGGTTTTGGGCATCTTGGGTCAGTGCTACCTGGGAAGCACCTTGGTGGGGCAGGAGTTGTCGGTTTGGGACAACGCGGATCGGTGTTACCAGGGTAACAGTTGGGAGGTGCTGGTGTCGTTGGTTTGGGACATCTAGGATCAGTGCTGCCTGGGAAGCATCTTGGTGGCTCAGGTGTTGGTGGCTTGGGACATCTGGGATCACTTGATCCTGGGAAGCATCGCGGTGGCTCAGGAGTTGTTGGCTTGGGGCATCTAGGATCAGTAGAACCGGGGAAGCATTTGAGTGCCGGTGTCACTGGTGGCAAATAAGTGGGAGGAGTTAAAGTTGTTGGACGTGGAGGTTGGGGACATTTAGGATCCGGAGAACCTGGGTAGCAGACTGGTTTGGGTGTAGTTGGTTTGGGACATCTTGGGTCGGTGCTACCTGGGAAGCATCTGGGTGGAGCTGGTGTTGTCGGTTTAGGGCAACGTGGGTCAGTATTTCCAGGATAACAGTTTGGTGGTGCTGGGGTCGTTGGTTTAGGACACCTAGGATCAGTGGAACCTGGGAAGCAGCGTGGTGGTTCAGGAGTCGTTGGTTTTGGGCATCTTGGGTCAGTGCTTCCTGGGAAGCATCTGGGTGGCGCTGGTGTTGTTGGTTTAGGGCAACGTGGGTCAGTTGATCCTGGGAAGCAGCGTGGTGGCTCAGGCGTTGTTGGCTTAGGACACCTAGGATCAGTACTACCTGGGAAGCATCTTGGTGGGGCAGGAGTAGTTGGTTTGGGACAACGAGGGTCCGTGCTCCCAGGGAAGCATCGAGGTGGTTCAGGTGTTGTTGGCTTAGGACATCTAGGGTCATTTGATCCAGGGAAACAACGTGGTGGTTCAGGGGTTGTTGGCTTGGGACATCTAGGATCAGTAGAACCAGGGTAGCATTTGAGTGCCGGTGTCACTGGTGGTAAATAAGTGGGAGGAGTTAAAGTTGTTGGCCGTGGAGGTTGGGGACACTTAGGGTCCGGAGAACCTGGGTAGCAGACTGGTTTGGGTGGTGTTGGAGTAGTTGGTTTGGGGCATCTTGGGTCTGTGCTACCTGGGAAGCATCTGGGTGGAGCTGGTGTTGTTGGTTTAGGGCAACGTGGGTCAGTATTTCCGGGGTAACAATTTGGTGGTGCTGGGGTTGTTGGTTTAGGACACCTAGGATCAGTGGAACCTGGGAAGCAGCGTGGTGGTTCAGGAGTCGTTGGTTTCGGACATCTTGGGTCAGTTGAACCAGGGAAGCACCTTGGTGGGGCAGGAGTCGTAGGTTTAGGACAACGGGGGTCATTGTTTCCGGGGTAACAATTTGGAGGTGCTGGGGTCGTGGGTTTAGGGCATCTGGGATCAGTTGATCCTGGGAAACAACGAGGTGGCTCAGGAGTCGTCGGCTTAGGACACCTGGGGTCGGTACTGCCTGGGAAGCACCTTGGTGGAGCAGGTGTCGTTGGTTTAGGACAACGCGGGTCAGTATTTCCGGGGTAACAATTTGGAGGTGCCGGTGTGGTAGGTTTCGGACACCTGGGGTCTGTACTTCCAGGGAAACATTTTGGAGGAGCGGGTGTTGTCGGTTGTGGACATCTAAGGTCTGTTGAACCTGGATAACATTTAAATTCCGGGGTAACCGGTGGCAAATATGTTGGAGGTGTTAAAGTTGTAGGTCGTGGTGGCTGTGGACATTTGGGATCGGGCGAACCTGGGTAGCATCGCGGAGGTTCGGGAGTGGTTGGCTTGGGGCATCTGGGGTCATTTGAACCTGGGAAGCAGCGTGGTGGAGCAGGAGTCGTTGGCTTTGGACACCTAGGGTCAGTTGAGCCAGGGAAGCAGCGTGGTGGCTCAGGAGTAGTTGGCTTTGGACATCTGGGGTCAGTGGAGCCCGGGTAACACCTTGGTGGAGCAGGCGTCGTTGGTTTGGGGCAACGAGGATCAGTGTTTCCTGGGTAACAGTTAGGGGGTGCTGGTGTAGGAGGTTTCGGGCACCTGGGGTCTGCATTACCAGGATAACAATTAGGAGGGGCAGGTGTTGTGGGTTTGGGGCATCTGGGATCAGCAGAACCAGGGAAGCATTTGAGTGCTGGTGTCACTGGTGGTAAATAAGTGGGAGGAGTTAAGGTAGTTGGTCGTGGAGGTTGGGGACATTTAGGATCCGGAGAACCCGGGTAGCAGACTGGTTTGGGTGGTGTTGGAGTAGTTGGTTTGGGGCATCTTGGGTCAGTGCTGCCTGGGAAGCATTTGGGTGGCGCAGGTGTTGTTGGTTTGGGACAACGTGGGTCAGTGTTTCCGGGGTAACAGTTTGGTGGTGCAGGCGTTGTTGGTTTAGGGCACCTAGGATCAGTTGATCCTGGGAAGCAGCGTGGTGGCTCAGGAGTCGTTGGTTTAGGACAACGGGGGTCATTGTTTCCAGGGTAACAATTTGGAGGTGCTGGTGTAGTAGGTTTGGGGCATCTGGGATCAGTTGATCCTGGGAAGCACCGCGGCGGTTCCGGAGTCGTAGGCCTTGGGCATCTTGGGTCAGTGCTACCTGGGAAGCATCTGGGAGGTGCAGGAGTCGTTGGTTTGGGACAACGCGGGTCAGTGTTTCCAGGATAACAGTTTGGAGGTGCTGGGGTTGTTGGTTTAGGGCACCTAGGGTCTGTTGAACCTGGGAAGCAGCGTGGTGGCTCAGGAGTCGTTGGTTTGGGACATCTTGGGTCAGTTGAGCCAGGGAAGCACCTTGGTGGGGCAGGAGTCGTTGGCTTGGGACAACGTGGATCAGTGTTTCCAGGGTAACAATTTGGTGGTGCAGGCGTAGTGGGCTTGGGGCATCTAGGATCAGTGCTGCCTGGGAAGCAGTTTGGAGGCGCTGGAGTTGTAGGTTTTGGGCAACGCGGATCAGTGGACCCAGGGAAGCACCGTGGGGGTTCAGGAGTCGTTGGTTTAGGACATCTAGGGTCAGTAGAACCGGGATAACACTTAAGTGCCGGTGTCACAGGTGGTAAATAAGTCGGGGGAGTTAAGGTTGTTGGGCGTGGTGGTTGGGGACATTTAGGGTCTGGAGAACCCGGGTAACAGACTGGTTTGGGTGTGGTAGGTTTGGGACACCTTGGGTCATTTGATCCAGGGAAGCAGCGTGGAGGTTCTGGAGTCGTTGGCTTGGGACACCTAGGATCGGTACTGCCTGGGAAGCACCTCGGTGGAGCAGGTGTCGTTGGTTTGGGACAACGCGGGTCAGTGTTTCCAGGATAACAGTTTGGAGGTGCTGGGGTTGTTGGTTTAGGGCATCTAGGATCTGTTGAACCTGGGAAGCAGCGTGGTGGCTCAGGAGTTGTTGGTTTGGGACATCTTGGGTCGGTTGAACCTGGGAAGCATCTTGGTGGAGCAGGGGTTGTTGGTTTTGGACAACGCGGATCGTTGTTTCCAGGGTAACAGTTTGGTGGTGCAGGCGTGGTAGGCTTGGGACACCTGGGGTCACTTGATCCAGGGAAGCAACGAGGTGGTTCAGGTGTCGTAGGTTTAGGACATCTTGGGTCAGTTGAGCCTGGGAAGCACCGTGGTGGGGCAGGGGTTGTTGGTTTTGGACAACGTGGGTCGGTATTTCCAGGGAAACAATTTGGTGGTGCAGGCGTGGTTGGCTTAGGACACCTTGGGTCAGTTGATCCTGGGAAGCACCGTGGTGGTTCAGGTGTCGTTGGCTTAGGGCATCTAGGGTCAGTCGAACCTGGGTAACATTTGAGGGCCGGTGTTACTGGCGGTAAATAAGTGGGAGGAGTTAAGGTTGTTGGTCGTGGTGGTTGGGGACATTTTGGATCCGGAGAACCCGGGTAGCAGACTGGTTTGGGTGTTGTAGGTTTGGGACACCTTGGGTCATTTGATCCAGGGAAGCAACGTGGAGGTTC